CTGGTCCAAACAATGCTGTTAACAAATGTTGTAACTATAAATATTGCCATTGAGTTACATCTGATAGATATTTCTCTCTTAACATAGCATCTGTTAAAAATTCATCATCATCTCTCAATTGGTCCAAAGTCAATATCCTCGCTTTCATCCAATTTTTCCATATCACCATCTTTTTCCCAATTTTTAATGTTGTGTTTCCCCATAAAGTCAATTTAGCATGGGAAGAAGGTTCAAATCTTTTTTTATTAGACATTATATTCCATAGATTTCTGACATAATTGTTTCCAGAGATACTAGAGTTCTGTTGTATTTAGATCTGTCCATCCAACCAAAGGTACTATATACAGACAGTCCCCTATTTGCAAACTTTCATGTTGCGAATTTTCACTGATACGAACAAGATGGACCCGGAAGTCAGAATTGGAAATCAGGCCGGATGTTGGGAGAAGGCGGGAAAGGGCGCCGCAGACTAACCCTTTCCCACCTTCTCCCGCCTTCCATTTGCACTGGAGATTTGCATTGGAGTTGGAGTTCCCAGAAAGGGTTAGTTTACATGGCGTGCTCCATACTGGGTGAGGCAGGAGAAGGGGCGGTGGCAGAGGACAGGGGAGGGAGGGTGGAGGTCTCCTGCCTTGCCCACCAATGGAGCGTGCCACACCCCACCAGCTTGTCCCTTAGTCCAGGGACCCACTGCTGCCTCTCTTGCCTCAGTCACCTGGCAACCCATTGGCAGCAAAAGACAGGGCTCCTCTGCCCACACCACTGCCCTGCCTCCTGCTGCCTTTTTTTTTTTTTACTTTTTACTTGGTTGGACTTACAAACAAAACAGACTTACAAACGGCCTCTTGGAACGTCACCTGTTCCTAAGTAGGGGACTGTCTGTGTGTATATTCCAAAGTTGCCCAAACCAGAAAATTAACACCAATTGTTGGCTTCCAGTATTTAATACTTGACAATAGGTAAGCGTGATGATATAGCACCAGATTCAGAAAACCGACTCCTCCCTCATTAATTGGTAATTGCATTTTCTGTAAAAATATTCTCCTAACTGAAGAACCCCATAAAAATTTTCTAAACAAAGAATTTATTTGCTGAAAATATTTTCCAGATATTTGAACAGGAATTCCTCTCAGAATTTAAATTATTCTGGGAATAATATTCAGTTTGAGAGTATTTACCTTTCCCCAAAGGGTAAGGTTTAATTACTCCCATCTATCCATATCTTAAGAAACCTCTTCATATATTTTATTAATATTACATGTTACAGTTATATCTTTTGATATGCACATACCAAAATATTTAATGGATTCAGTACAAATACGGAATTTATATTCCTTAAATGTATGGGTAACCAAATGTTCACCTATTGGCATCAACTGTGATTTGGACCACTTAATAGAATATCCTGCTATTTTGCTAAAGGCATCTATCATTTGCCTCAACCCTGGAATAGTAGTGTGAAGTTTAGAAATGATTTGCATAATTTAAAATATTATCTGCAAATAAAACCAGTTTATGTTCAACTACTCTGTAAATCTCCCCATGTTGTCTAATAGCACAGGCCAAGGGTTCCACGCAAATATCAAAAAGCAAGGGTGAAAGTGGACATCTTTGTCTAGTTCCTCTAAATAATGGGAAAGTAGCAGAAAACATATCATTAACCTTTACTTTAGATGTGGGCGACTCATATAATATCTTGATCCTTTTTATGAATTCCAAAGGAAATCCGAATCTATTTAGTACAACAAACATGTACTGTTGATGTATTTTATCAAAGGCTTTTTCAGCATCTAATGATAAAATTACAATCTTTATTTTTATTCAAGTCTGTTAGGTCTACATCTAACCGAATGTTGTCTGCTGCTTGCCTAGTTGTATAAACCTTGCTTGATCATTCTTAATAATGAACTATATCACTTGCTGTAATCTATTTGCTAACACTGCTATTAAAATTTTTGTATTAACATTAATCAATGAGATTAGATCACTGAGTGTGATCATATCTGCTTTTGGTATAACTGTAATATAAGCCTGATTAAAAGCCGGTGATCAAATCTCTCTTCATACACTTGACAAAGTTTTGGCACCAAAAGATTTATAAATGTTTTATACACTATACCAACCAATTTTATACCAACCAAAATTTTATACCATTATGCCAACCAAATGTTTAATCCCTACCTCAGATAATGAAGCAAATAAAAGTTCTTTTTGTGTATCATCTAAATGTGGTAGGTTACTTTTATTTAAAAAGTCCTCTGTATCTTCATTCTATATATTCTCTGGATTATTATATAATTCTGAATAAAAATTGACAAATTGACAAATTTTTGAATTGCAAATCTGGAAAAAAGTCTGTTTACTTACTCAAGTAAAGCACACTACTTGGTAAAGTACAGAAGGATCAATTCACAACATTAGAATAGTTCCATATAAGAATCCTGATCGTCAAATGATTTACATTACTAACGCAGGTCCGCTCTCTAAACACAGGCCCCCTCTCTACATATTTCTTGGCATGGCACAATCAAGCAAACCAACCAACCAACCAACCAACCAACCAACCAACCAACCAACCAACCAACCTCCCTCCCTCCCT